TGCCAGCATCTCCAGGGATTGTCCCAGTTTCCCAAGCACTGTGCCAAGCCCTGGGGGAGGAGGGTGTGTTGGTGTCTTCGGGGGGTGCCAATGTCCCCAGGGGCTGTGCCAGCATCACCAGGAAGAGTGCCAGTTTCCCAAGGGCTGTGCCAGGTCCCCAGCAGGGTGCTGGTGTCCCTGGGGTGAGGTGTGTTGTTGTGGTGTCTCCAGTGCTCACACCAGGATGCCCAGCAGGATGCCAGTGTCCCCAGGGTTGTGCCAGGTCCTGGGCCAGGCTGGCTCGGGGCAATAGGGACAGCACAGGGGGGTCCTGGCACAGTGAGGGGACGGAGCCCCCATTGGGGTCCCGGGGTGCTATCAGGGACTGGCAGCCTGGGGGACCCGAGTGTGCTCCTGGGAGATTAGGGGGCAGTCACTGGGATGGGGAGGTGTGTCCCAGCCACGCTGCCGGGGTTCGGACTGCCGGGCGCTGAAGGTGACAGTGACAACAGGAGGGCCTGGCCTCGTGCAGGTGGGTGAGGGGTGCAGAACAGGAATCTGCAGGCACGGTCGTGCGTGCAGGTGTGCATGCCTGTAAACCTGTGTGTGTGCCTGTGAACAGCTGTGTGTGTGCTTACAAATGTGTGTGTGCGCCCATAAATCTGGGTGTGCTCAAAAATCTGTGTGTGTCCGTCAACGGTTGTGTGCCACATGTCACCAGCTGTCCCCACGTGTGCGAGCCCTGGCTGCTGCAGGGCCCTGCCCTGCGCCCTGGCACATAGGGGACACCAGTGCCAGCTGCTGTGGCCAGGGATGAGGGGCAGAACTGGGGTGACAGTGGCCTTTGCCCAGGTGGCCACATGCTGCCAGGTGTCCCTGTGTCCCCAGTGGGTGCCAGCATGGTGTGACACCTGGCCTTTGTCACCCACAGGCTTGGCGAAGACGCCCCAGGCTGGTGACAGCCCGGGCCAGTGGTTCCTGGGCAGGGGACATGGCGGGGGGCGCGGGGCTGGCCAAGCGCCTGGGGACGCTCCTGTCAGGGCTGCTGGAGTGCGGCGCCTTCTGCGGCATCATCTTCGGCTGGGCCTCCCTCGTCTTCGTCCTCAAGGACCTGGGCTACTTCGAGGGGCTGTGCCAGCCCTCTGCCACCCCCAGCCCCAACCTCAACCTCACCCTGGGGTCTGGTATGGACCCCCACGTGTCCCCACGGTCCCCTGACTCGTGACCCCGCTGTCCCGATGCCCCGAGCTGTCCCATGTCCCCACTGTGCCTGTGTCTTTGCTGTCTGCGGTGTCCTGGTGCCCTGCAGTGCTCTGTGTCCCCGCTGTCTCCAAGCCCATGTGCCTGCTGTCCCCCAGTCCGTGTCTGCAGTACCATCATGTCTGTGGTGTCCCCACATGCCCGGTGTCCCCTGCATCTCCGCTGACTCGTGTCCCCGGGTGCCTGCGTCCCCACACCCGTGGTATTCCCGGTGTCCCCCTTCCCACGTCTCCGTGTCCCCATGCCCCATTTTGGCCGTTCCCAGACTGCAGTGGGCAGGATGAGCAGTTCTCCCTGGTCTTCACCATCGGCTCCTTCATGAACAACTTCATGACCTTCCCCATGGGCGTCGTCTTCGACCGCTTCGGCACCACAGCTGCGCGCCTCATCGCCATGTGAGCGCTGCGCCAGGGACACGGGGACAGGCTGGGGGTGCTGGGAATGGGGGGTTACTGGGCTGGCCTGGCTCCCAGGGGACTGGGGTAGGATGGGATCCTGGGAATCACCTGTGATTCCCAGGATCCCGTCCCCACGTGTCACCACTGTCCCCTCTAGCTCCCTCTACACTGGCGGGACCCTGCTCGTCGCCTTCTCCACGCCAGGTGAGACCCTGTGGCCAGGGGGTCCCCAGCCCTGGGGGGACCTCTTCAATAACCCCTGCCCCCACTGACCCCTGTGTTCCCAGAGCTGGCGGAGCTGCTCTTCCCGGCCATGTCCATGCTGTCTGTGGGTGGCATCCTCCTCATCCTCACCAACATGCAGGTGGGTTCCCCCTGTACCCTGACACCCACGTGGTGGTGGGACACCCCGTGTGGCACGGGAGGGCTCTGATGGCACACGGGTCTCTCGGTGCCAGGTGGGAAACCTGTTCGGGAGCTACCGCTCCATCATCATCACCCTCTACAACGGGGCCTTCGACTCCTCCTCCGCCATCTTCCTCATCGTCAAGGTGGGTGCGAGGGACATGGCAGTGGTGGCGGGGAGGACAGAGCTGGGAACAGCTGGGTCACATCTACAGACACATTGGGGACACAGTCTGGGACGCAGCTGAGTCACTGCTGAGGCCACATATGGGGACACACCTAAGGCCTGAGCAGGCAGCCGGTGGCAGCCTGTGTCTGTCCCTGACTCCGTCCTTGTCCCCAGCTGCTGTACGAGCACGGGCTGTCCCTGCGGGCCATGTTCCTCTTCCTGGCAGCCTGCAGTGCCTGGCATCTCCTGCGCACCCTCTTCCTGATGCCGCGCTCCCGCATCCCCTACCCGCTGCCTCCCGACTACGACTACGGGTACGGGGGCTGCCTGCGCCTGCCGGGGCTCTGGGCAGAGCGGGGCTGGGGCTGGGTCCCACCCTGCGGGCAGCGGGTCCTGTCCCCTGGGCAGGTCCAGCCCCGGCACGGTGACACAAGGTGACACAGGCGCTGCCGCAGGCTGCAGTGCCGGGGGCGTTCCCGCTCCTACCGAACCCACAAGGACAAGCAGCCCCCGGGAGAGGCCGGACCCGAGGAGACACCCCTGGAACCCCCCATAGCTCGAGGTGCCGGAGTGGGAATCTGCTCGGTGGGGCGGGGCTTGGCCGGGTGGGCGTGACCACAGCTGGCTGTGTGCTGTGCCATGTAAATGAGGGGTGCGGCCTGGGGGCGTGGCTGTGCAGGGCGTGTTGGAGGGCAACCATGCGTATGCAAATAGATGGGTGTGGCCTTCTGCTGGGTGGGCGTGGCTGCTGATGGGTGCTGCTGGAGGACAGCTGGGATATGCAAATGAGGGAGTGCTGGGTGTGGCAGTGGGTGGGCGTGGTCAAAGAGTGACATACCTGAATGGGCAGGGTCATACCGATGGCCGTGAGGCCCCAGTGGGTGGCAGGGACAAGGTGTGGGTGTGGCATGGGGGTGTGTGTCTGTATGTGCCCCACCCTGACACCTGCACAGGTGGGGACGCCCCCGGGACGCCGTTCCGGGCCTGCGCCTGCTCCTGGCTCTTTGCCTGGCACGTGGCCTGGCTCTCGGTGATGCAGCTGCGCCACTACCTGTTCATCGGCACCCTCAACCCGCAGCTCGAGCACCTGGCACACGGGGACCACGCCCTGGGTAAGGCATCGCAGCGGGGGGGACACAGCGGGGACCCCCGGGGCCGGCCCCGCCCGCCTGACGCTGTCCCCCCACAGTGAGCACCTACACCAACGCCTTCGCCTTCACCCAGCTCTTCGGGGTGCTCTGCGCCCCCTGGAACGGCCTCATCCTCGACCGGCACAAGCGGGCAAAGGGCCCCCGTCCCGAGGGTAACTGAGCCCCCAGCCCAAGGGCAGCTGAGCCCCCGGCCCCATGCCCCGCGGGCAGCTGAGTCCCACGGCCCTTCACCCCAAGCAAAACCACTCCTTGGCCCCACACTATGGGGGTAACCCTTCATCCCAGCCCTGTGCTCCCTGTCCCCTGTGTCCACACTGCTGCCACCACCACTGTGCCCGAGCCCACGGCACCTGGAGAAGGGACACGGGAAGGCTGCGTCCCCCTGCCCTGACCCCCATGCCCACAGGGCTCCTGGCCGCGCTGGCAGACCTGCGCTCGGCGGTGCTGTCGCTGGTGGTGACGGTGGCACTGTGCCTGCTGTTCTCCGTGTTTGCCGCCGTGCCTGTCCTGCCTGCTCAGTTCGGCACCTTCGTGCTGCAGGTCATCAGCCGCTCCTTCCTGTACGGCGGCAACGCCGCCTTCCTGGCCATCGCGTGAGTGGGGACAGCCACGGGGGACGCAGGCTTCAGGGTGGCAGGGCATGGTGGCACGGTCGTGGGTGTGGCAGGGGACAGACAGGGTGGCATGGCCAGGATGGGGTGGCAGGGGGTGGCGGTGGAGCTGGAGGGTGGCAGGTGGCACGGTGGAGGTGTCAGGGGACTGCGGTGGGGCTGTCAGGGCTCAAGAGGGGGCCAGGGTGGGGGTGCCAGGAGATGCCTGTTGGTGACATGGGTGCCTGGCAGGTTCCCCCCGCAGCACTTTGGGAAGCTCTATGGGCTGGCCATGGCACTGTCGGCGCTGGTGGCCCTGCTGCAGTACCCCTGTGTCGCCCTGGTGCAGGGGCCGCTCCAGGGGGACCCCTTCTATGTGAGTGTGCCCTGTGGGACCCCCGAGTGAGGGTTGGGGGGCTGCTCCACAGGGAAATGGGGTCCTGCCCTGGGAAGGAAGGGGGCTTGCCACATGGGGAAATGGGGATGCTGCCCAGGGAGGGAGGGAATCCTATCCCCAGGAGTGGTGGAGGCTTATGCCATGAGAAATGGGGGTCCTGCACCAGAGAGGGATGGGTGTCCTGCTCCTGGGGAAATGGAGGTGCTGCCCCAAGAGTCCTGGCCTGACACAGGGGATGGGGGGACGGCTCCCCAGACCCATGCCCTGACACTCTTCCCCTCCACAGATGAACTTGGGGCTCATTGCCGTGGTGCTGGTGGCCTTTGTCAGCCCCGTGGTGGTGGCACGCGAGTGCCAGCGGCGAGCCAAGGAGCTGGGCATGGCTGGCACGCCCCTGGCAGCCCCCTCCAGCACTGAGATCCACGCCGAGACCCCACACTGAGCCCCACACCCAGCACACCATTTTTGTACCGGCCTGGGGGTGCTGTGCCAGTGGGGTGGGGATAATAAACATCGCTGTCCCATCCGCTCGCTGTGCTGCCCCCACGGGCCCCCAGCCCCGTCCCCAGACCCCCGGTGCACACAGACACGGTTCAGGGCATCTATGCTTTACTGGGAAAGGAACTGGGGTGCCACGGCAGCGCCAGGGGCTCAGTACTGGCAGATGAAGGGGCGCAGCTGGAGGCAGAAGCGGCTTCGCCAGAGCCCGTCTGGGGACAAGGACAGTGTCAGGGCCATGGGTGGTTCCCAGGGCCCCTCAGTACCCTGCAACCACTTCCAGTGCCCCCTGTATCCCCCCTTGGCTCCCCCAGTGCCCTGTAACCCCTCCCAGTGCTCCCCTCAGCTCACCCAGTGCCCTGTAGCCCCCTCCCCACAGTGCCCTCCCAATGTTCCTCCAACGCCCCAGCAGCCTGTGCTCCCCTCCCCAGCACCCCCCAAGCCTGGACACGGTGGCTGGGTGACCTTACCTCGGGTGCTGAGGGTGGTGCAGGTGGTGACAATGTGGAAGGGGTGAGTGGGCGCCCAGTTCGCGTAGTTCCAGGGGCTGGAGTCCTCCCAGTAGGACTCCCACTGCCCTGCCTGCTGTGCCAACACCTCAGTCCCCAGGGAGAGCCCCCACCACCCCAGCCAGCCCCTCGACCCCAAAAACCAGCCCCAGCAACCAACAGGCAGCCCCTCATGCCTCAAAACCCAGCCTCCAGCCCCAGGCTCGTCCCCCACAAAGCAGCCCCAGCACCCAGCACCCCAACCCCAGCCCCTCACCCCCCAAGGCAGCCCCCAGCACCCCTTGGGCAGCCCTTGTCCCCGGAGTCCCCTCACCCTGCGGCTGGTGACAGCTCCAATCCAGGGTGCGAGGATGATGTTGTAGGTTTGTGCCAGTTTCTGCAGCTGCTGGTTGCGGGCGGCGCTGTGCACTGAGGCCAGCTGGCCCCGGTACACGTCCTGGCAGTAGCGCTGTGGGACGGGCACGGGCTGGCACCAGGCACTCACCTGTGCCCACGGGCACCTCCCGGCAGTGCTGCCGTGGCACGGGCACGGCCTGGCATCCTGGTACACCCCGCACCTGCTGTGCCCCGTCCCCTCACCTCGGCACCTGAGTAGGTGTACAGCTTCTTCACCACGGTGTAGTGCAGCGGGGCGGTCTCACCAGCAGGCACCCCCTGGGGCTGGCGGGGGGCTGCAGGACACAGCAGGGGAGGGTTGGTACCGGGGGTCCCTCTGCCACCCGCTGCCAGCCCCAGGCATGTGGCATCGGTGGTGTGGGCATGGCACTGGGGTGGCAGGGACTGAGGGTGTCCCCAGGGTGTCCCTGGGAGCGGGCAGGGGTGTGGGGGGCACTCAGTGGGGCAGGGGGACTGGCACTCACCGGGGTGGCTGGCAGGGACAGTGCCCAGCAGGGCGAGAGCGAGCAGCAGGCATGGCCACATGGCAGTGGGACACGCAGGGACACCGCGAACACCACCAGCACTCTCTGGAGATGCCACAACCCTGTCACCCTGTCACCCCCCACCATGGTCCAGAGCCCCTCTGCCACCCTTGGTAACAATCTGTTCTCTCTGTGGCCCTTCTGCCATCCCGTGTCTCCACTGTCCTACCGCCACTCCTAGGTCCACCTTGTGTCCCTCACCCCATCCTGCCCCTCTGTGCCCCATATCCCCACCGTCCCTCCACCATCCCCTGTGCCACTCCCATATACTCCTGACATCCCAGAGACCCCCGTGTCCCCCAACACCCTTGTCCCAGCCTCAGGGATGCCCATCCCTGGTCCCCACCCCAGCAGTCAGGGGCTGAGCCCACTCAGATGTCCCCCTCCATGTCCCTGTCCCCATCCCTGCTCCTCACCTGGGGTATGGGGGGCTCTGCCCGCTGTCCCCCTTATAGGGGTGACAAAGCCACATGTCACCACCACAGCCTTGCGCCACCCAGCCCAGCCCTGGGGACATTGGGGTGACACTAGGGGGGAGGGGATCCTTGCCCGCAGTGGGGCACACATGGCCCCCAGGGAGGGGGGCTGCAGGCTGGGGGGTGCATGGGGGTGCCCAAGGCAGAGGGTGGGTGCTGGGGGGTGCAGGGGTGGGGGCTGCTCCAGTTTGAGGGGTGCAAGGCGGGTGTATGGGGTGCAACATGGGCCGGCTGGGGGTGCAGAGGGGATGTTGGGGTGCTGATACCATCTCCCGCTGGCCATGCTTGCCCAAGGGCCATTTCCTTTCCAACGGCCGTGGCCGCCGGGTCCGGCCTGGCCGTTTGCCCACAGACCCCTTGAGGCCCCCCTAAATCTCCCATTTCCCTGACCAGCCCTCAGGCCTGCAGCTGAGCACCCACGGTCCCCCCCGAGGACTCTGCACCCCAATCCTTATCTCCATGCCCTGTGCACCCCAACCCCTCCATCCCCTGTACCCCAACATCCCTGAGCCCCTGTACTGTTAACCTGACCCCCCAAACTCCCACAGCCCCCTCCCCACACCCTGCACCCCAAACCCCACAGCCCCCTCTCCATGCCCCACACCCCCTCCCCTGGACCAAGCACACCCCAGGCTTTGGCACTGCCTGGGCAGGGTGCTGGCAGAGCCCTCCTGAGGTGTCCCCCACCATGTCCCCAACAGTTGGTGGTTGGGGATGTCACAAGGCTGTGGTTGGGGGTACGTGTCCCTGCCACCAATATAAGGGTGGCAGTGGGCAAAGCCCCCCAAGACCCAGGTGAGGAGCAGAGACAGGCACATGGGGGTGGGCTCAGCCCTCGGCTGCCAGGGTTGGGGGTTCCTGAGTCTGGCACTGGGGGGCTCTGGGGTGCCAGGGGTGGAGGGGGCACGGTTGGGGACAGAATGGCACAGGAAGCCCAGGGGAGGGAGTGACCCAAGGGTGGGAAGTGAGGAACTGGGCACATGGTGGGCACAGGAGGGCTGAGGTCTGTGGGGGTGGCACTGGGGGTGGCAGAGGGGACGGGGCATGGGGTGGCACTGGGGATGGTGGAGGGACAGTGGGGATATGGGGGGTTTCTGAGGGGACATGGGGAAGAAAGGGTGATGCTGGGGGTGGCAGAGGGCCCATGGGGGTGTCCCCAGGGTGGCTGAGAGTGATGGCGCTCTGGGATGTCCCAAGGGTGCTAGTGGTGTCCCCAGTGTCCCTGTGCCATGCGGCCCTGCCTGCTGATTGCCCTGGCCCTGCTGGGCACAGTTCCCGTCAGCCGCTCCGGTGAGTGCCCCCCACACCCCCACCTGCCCGCGGGGACATCCTGGGACACCCCTGATCCCAGGGTGACCCAGCCACTGTTCCCAGCTCTTGCCAGCCCTGCGGTGGAGGATGAGGAGGACGTGACAGAGCTGGAGATGCCCGAGGAGTATAGTGGGTGCCGGGGGGCCAGTGACAAGCAGGCACTCGGTGTCCCCAGCATGCCGGGCACCGCCACCTGCCGCTACGTCATCATCTCCCGCTGCCGAAGCTTCCGCCATGCGCAGGTGGGATGGGGTGGGTTGGATGGGAGGTCAGGGTGGGGGCACCAGTGCCCCCCGTGACAGCCGTGTCCCTGCAGCGCATCTGTGCCCGGCGCTTCTGCGGGCGCTTGGCCTCCATCCACGATTCCCGCACCAACACCTTCCTGATGCTCCTGGCGCGCCGGCACACCAATGCCGGCCTCGTCTGGATCGGTGCCGTCAGCCAGCCCGCCGTAAGGACCCCCGCCACGCGCCCACCACCCTGGCCTCGGGGCACCCTGTCTCCTCCCAGTGTCCCCAGTGCCCACCCCGGGTGTCCCAGCCCCGTGCCACGATTCCCAGTGCACAGCCTGGGTTCCCCGATCCCATTCCCAGTGATCTCAGTGCCCACGAAGAGAGCCACAACTCCACCCCAGTGTCCCCAGTGCCCACCTGGGTGCTCCAGCCTTGTCCCAGTATCCCTAATGCCCATCCTGGATGTCCCATTCCCGTTCCACTGTCTCCCAGCGCTGGAGGTGCCCACACCCTTTCTCCCCTGGCAGATCCCATTCCCAAACTGCCACTGGACTGACCGGAGCCCCTGGAACTACAGCCGGTGGGTGCACGGGCACCCCCTGCCCGGCCGCCGCTTCTGCACCGCCCTCTGCACCAACAGTCAGTGCGGGCTCTGTGGGAGGGGTCTGGGGGGCGCTGGGGCAGCCCCTGCCATGATGGGGGGAGGGTGCTGAGGGGCTCGGGATGGGGAGGTGACACTGGGAGGCTGGTATAAGGTATCTGGGGGGGCTATCCCTGGGGCTGGAGGGGGTCCCTGGGGGTGGGGGTGCTGGTGGGCCATGGGCTGATCCCCCCTCTTCTCTCCCCAGATGGGCTCTGGAGGAGCGTGCGCTGCAAGAGGCAGCTGCCTTTCATCTGCGAGATATGAGGGGCTCAGCCCCGCTGGGTGCTCCTGGGCCTCCCCTACTGCTGTTCCCCTACAGGGGCTGCACCCCCTCCCTCGGAGCACAATAAAGTCTTGGTGTCAGCACCCACTTGGTGGTTGGGCAGGGCCAGGCTGGGTGCAACCAGGGTGGGCACAGAGGGGTTTTGGAGGTGCCCCTTCTTCCCTGCACAGTTCCTGTGTGAGCAATGGCAGTCGCAGGGTCCCCTCTTCAAGGATCTCCGTGATCCCTGCCCAGAAGAGCCAGGACTCTCTGAACTGACCAGCGAGGTTTTATTGTCTGTGGCAGTGGCACCACGAGCTGGACCCGTTGGCCTTTGTCCGGGACCATACATGAGCAGGGGGGAGGGGAAGGGAGGGCTCGTGCCCACCCCCACACCTGTGGGAACCAAGGGGATGGGGTACAATGGGGGGATGGGGAGGAGGTGAAGACAGGGACCCTGCGAACTCGTACAAAGTGCATAGGTGTGTGTGTGTGTGTCCCCATGGGAGGGGACAGCCCTGGTCCAGGGACAGCAGGCTTCAGCGTCGGAGTGAGCCTGGAAGTGACACATGGGGAAGGGGGTGAGGACCCTGCAGGGCCCCCCCAGGGATGACCCTGCCTGGGGGGACCCAGCCAGAGCAGAGAGGGCTACCCCCAGCAGCGCAGACTTGGGGAAGCCTGAGCTGGCGGGTGTCCCCAGCACTGTCTGAAATCCCACACTCACCCTGCTCAAGGCTTCTTCCTTTTCAGCTTCAGCGCCTGCAGCCAGTGGGGGGGAGACGCCTCGGATCTGGGGTATTGGCAGAGTTTCAGCATGAGCCCCCCAAAACCAGTCTGACCCCTCAGCCCCCCTTTTGCCTCCATGTGGAGGATCCTGGCCCCACACTCACCCTGAGGATTTCTCTGGCTTGGGGGGCAGGGCTGGGGGTTTCCCACTCACACCAGGGATCTTGCAGGACTTGGAGCGCTGCACATGGGGGTCTTTAGGAGGGGTTCCCTTGCTGTCCCCTGATGATGTCCCCTCCTCAGCCGAGCGGTTGCGACCCCTTAGCTTGGCCTGGGGGAAGAGAGAAAGGTCAGGGAGAAGGGTCAGGACAATGCTCTGTCCCCCAAATCCCACCACTGCCTTCTCCCTGTCTTTAGCCAGGCCCCAGCCCAACACTGCCTTGGTTTCCCTGCGTTCCACCCTCCCTTCCACCCTGCAGCAGGAACCCAAGGAACTCACCTTGATGGCAGAGGCACTGAGGCCGGGAAAGAGCGGCACCTTAACCCCCCTTCCCGAGGATGAGCCGCGCATCCGCCGGCTCCGGGGCTCCTCCGCTGCCTCCTCGTCGGAGGACGCTGCTGGGGCTGGCCGGGGCTCTGTGGGGACACAGGGACAGTGTCACCACAACACTGCGCCAGGATAGACACCCCGCTCCCATCCCCATCCCCATCCACGCTGGGCTCACCTGTGGAGTCCCGGAAGATCCAGCTGTCCCCCTCGGTGGTGGTGGGGCGCAGGGATGGCGCCCGGTGCTGGCGCTTGCGGCCCAGGCTGGCCTTGCAGCGGAACACGCTGCTGTCCAGGAGCTCTGTGTCCTGCCGAGCCCAAGGGACAGGTCGGAGCTGGCACAGGGAGCTCAGGGATGCCCCACCACAGCCAGCACAGCCCCCACAGCAGTGCTGGGGGCCCTCAATCCGTGGCTGTCCCTGGGGGCAGCAGGGTCTGAGAGCCCCATCCACAGACACATGCTGTGTCCCAGGCCATACAGGGTGATTGGAACCTTCCCACTTCCACTCACCTCCAGAAGAGGAAATTCCTGCCCCTGCTCCACGGACCCCTCGGGCTGGGGGGTAGTAAGTGAGAGCCGCTGCTCCCCCCAGCTCGAAGAGCTCTCCCCATCTGGGTGGTCTGAGGGCTGTTCCTCACTTCCTGTGTCCATTGGGATCCCACTGGCAGCCTCTGGCAGCAGAGGGGGGACCCTGGGGCTCTGTGGGGCAGCAGCTGGTTCAGAGGGATGCCTCTCCTCCTCAGAGGGGCTGGGTGACTCACTCCGGGGGGGCTCCACAGCTGGGCAATCAGCTGGAATGTCACCCATCGAAGGGCTGGGGGCCGACCTGCTTGGGGGACAAAATCCTAGAATTGCTCTAGCCGCAGGTAACACAAGCCCTGCCCCAAACCCCCTCTGTCTGACACAGGGGAAGCTGTTCCCTCCCTGCCACCACCGGCGCCCTCCTTACCCGTGCTCTGCGCTGGTGTCCCCTCCCACGCTCTGCTCCCCCGCACCAAGGTCCCGGCTGCGGGCGGCACAGCGGGCACTGAAGGCACTCGCCCACTCCTGGCGCCTGGCCTCAGCATCCTGTGGCTCCACATTCCAGCTGTCCAGGTCCTGGCTCCAGCGGGCATTGCTCATGTCCAGAGAGAGATCCCTGTGCAAGCCTGCCTGCAGCTGTGGCTGGACCCCGGACATGGAGCCATCTGAGGCTCTGGCACTGCAGGAATCTGGCACCCGCTCTGTCCCAATGACACCAAACTGGTTCTGGCACTCAGCTGCTCCAAGCTCCTCAGCCCAGTCCCTGCTGCCAGAGCTGTGACGCTCCTGCTGGTGGGCACTGCCCCAGGTGGGCTCCTGGGCCGGGGGCTCTGGGCGGTGGGAGCTGGGCATGTCCTCCTCACCAACCCTGACCAGCCTGATCTGTCCGATGCTGCCTTCACCGGGCCAGCTCAGCCGGGCTGGGACCAGCTCCTGCTTTTCCTCCATGGGGGTCACAAAGCTGTGCTGCCCATCCTGGGCTGCTCCACTGGGGCTCAACTCTCTGTCCTGTGCCTCCACATCCCTGGTGCTGGATCTGTCATCCCAGACACTTCTGCTGGGGCTGAACTCCCCATTCCGGGTCTCCATGTCCTCAGTGTTGTGCCCACCATCCCTGGCTGCTCTGCTGGATGTGAATTCACTGTCCTGGGTCTCCATGTCCCTGGCGCTGGATCTGTCACCCCAGGCTGCTCTGCTGGGACTGAACTCATCCTGGGTTTCCAGGTCCCTGCTGCATTCACTTGCTTCAGCCAGCCTGCTGGGGCTGAACTCCTGGTCCTGGCTCTCCATGCCCGTGGTGCTGGATCTGTCATCCCAGGCTAGCCTGCTGGGGCTGAACTCCTGGTCCTGGCTCTCCATGCCCGTGGTGCTGGATCTGTCATCCCAGGCTGGCCTGCTGGGGCTGAACTCCCTGTCCTGGCTTTCCATGTCCCTGATTTCACCAGTCCAAGCTGGCCGGCTGGGGCTGAACTCCCTGTCCTGGCTTTCTGTGTCCCTGTACTCCCGAGTCCAGGCTGGCCGGCTGGGGCTGAACTCCCTGTCCTGGCTCTCCATGTCCCTGGGGTTATACCTCCTGTCCCAGGCTGGCCGGCTGGGGCTGAGCTCCTTATCTGGGCTGTCCCTAGTGCTGGATCTGCCAGCCCAGCCCAGCGTTAAATTCTCGTCCTTATTCCCAGCATCCTGGCTGCTGTATTTACTGGCCCAGTCTGGGGTGAGCTCCCTGTCCTTCATCTCCATGTCCCTGCTGCTGTACCTGCTTGCCCAGGTGGGCTGCCCGGAGCGCGGCTCCTTGTCCAGCTGCTGGACATGTCCCGCACCAAGGCCACTGCCCCACCTGGCCTGTCCAGAGCCAAGCTCCTCCGTGCTGCCATAGCCCTGGCCCCACTCAGCTGTGCTGGCACTGAAGTCTGGATCCTGTGGGCAGCTCTTCCCAGTGTCAAGGGACTGGGACCAGTTGCTGCAGCCTAGTTTCGTGTCCCCCATCAGCTCTGCTGCTCTGTAGTCACCACTCCAGCTCTCCCGGGCAGTGCTGTCCTTGTCGCTGTGGTTACTGTCCCAGCTGGATTTGGTCCCGAATTCCTGGTCCTCCTTGGTCTCAACAGGCCAGTCTCTCTCCCTGGACGCACCTGGGTGGCTCCAGTCAAAGGTGCTGTCCTGTCGAGGGCGGCCAATGCCAAACTCACTGCACAGGTCCTTCCGTGACCAGCCCAGCAGGTTCTGGTGGAATAAAGGAGAGAGTAGTTAGAGGGGGAAAGAGGTTAGAAAGGGAAGAGGAGTTTGAGGGGAGCGCAACCCTGGCTCCCACAGCAGCAGAGCTGGGGAGAAGGGAAACACCTTGAGGACACAACACAGCAGGGCACATCCCATGGGGAAGGCAGCCCCACCACCCGCCCCTCAGCACACAGTCCTGCTCAGCCTCCACCGACCCACCCGCCCATCCTGTCCCATCCCATTGCTCTGTGGAGGGCAGGGAGGAGGAGCCCAGCCCACACCGACCCCACAGAGCCCCCCACACCCCTCACCTCCGGAGAGCCGTGGACCCCAGGTGACTCCAACAGCTCTGTCAGCCAGCCCGGGTCAGCGTGAGGGTCAGGGTCTTGCGAGGGTTTTTCAGCCTGGCCTGGGCCCCCGGGACCCTGCAAGCTCTTGGGGCCATCACCTGCCCAGGCTGAGTCAGTGGAAGCAGCTGGATCTGGAGGAGCTGGATCCAGGGGTGCAGTTGCGGTAAGGCTGGGCAGGGTGTGGGACTCAGGCTCAGCTGGGTGCTGGCTAGGCTCTGTCACACGAAGTGGGGAGTGGGACACGGGGGGAGCATCCTGCTCTGCCTCCCTTTCCTCCTCCTCCTCCTCTGCTGAGCCCTCAGCCTCTTGCTGTGCCACGGGACCCCCTGGGCATGGAGCCCCCTCTGCCTGCTGGCTGCCAGGCCCTTCAGACCTGCTGTCCTTTGGAGGGCTGGGGGACACAGCCTCCCCATCTGACTCCCCCTCTTCGGAGAGCCCTGAGTCAGGTGTCTCCCGGATGGGGGAGCGGGGAGGGAAGGCTGGCAAGCGTGCCCCCCGCGACGGGAATGTCCACTCAAAGGACTGGGAAAGGCTCCAGCCGGACTCGCTGCCCAGGGAGGGCTCTGACAGGAGGTCTCCAGCCCGGGGCAGGGCACTCAGTGAGCCCCCCAGCTCCCCCAGGCCCTGCCCCGTGGGCGGGGGCCGCAGCACCCCCTCGGAGGAACGCCGGAGTCCCACATCCCGGGGAGGAGGTTTGAAATCAGGACCCTCGTGGGACTGTAGGGACACTGTGGAGTCATCAGGTCCCTCTGGGGAGCCTGGGGGACGAGAGGCTTTGGCAAGGGGTGGGCTGGGGGGGCCCAGGTACTCAGCAGCAGCTTCAGGAGAGCCGGGGGGGCAGGTGACTCGTGGGGGCAGTTCAGGAGTGCCAGGGGGGCTGGCAGTGCCAGGAGATCCCTCCCCTGGAGTGTGTGGGGAGCCAGGGGAACGGGAAACACTGAGCTGGGGCTCGGTGGCCGAGGGAGCGCCCGGGGCCTGGATGGAGGTGACGGGGACCTCGACTGGAGGCCGAGTGGGGGATTCGGGGGACCCGGGGGGCAGTGTGGGGGAGTCAGGGGCCAGGAGCTCTGGGGGGGCATCAGGGGAGCCAGGGGCTGGGGCAGAGGGCTCAGCAGGCTGGAAAGGAGCTCCTGGGGCTGGAGCTGGGCAGGTGGGAGGCCTTGGGGAGCCTGGAGGTCCGAGGGCACCCAGCTGTAGAGTGGAAAGCTGTGGAAAAAGCCAGCAGGGGCTCATGTCACTTAAGAGGCACCTCCAAACATCATCCAACCAAAAGCCAGCCCCCCAAAACTCTGGAGGGTCCTTCCCTCCAGCCCTGCTCCCCTCCCTGCACCCGGGGCAGGAAGTGCCCATGCTGCATGCCAGAACCAGGCTGCTCCTGCGTGACTCAGCCAGGGCGGCTCCCAGCGCCCCAGCCCTGCTCCCTGCCCGGCCCCCTGCAGCCCCCAGAGCGCCTGGACAGACGGAGACAAGAAATGAAGCAGGAAGAAGTCAGAACCCCCAGCACAGCCCCCTGCCCTGCCTGTGGCTGGCATCCCCCCGCCCAGCACTGCTGGGGTTTGCCCCCTTGCTGGGGTGAGCTGGTGCCGCTGCCCAGGCTGTCACCTGCAGTGTCACCGTGGCCCAGTGTCCCGGTCACCACCCTGAGCGAGCATGGCGCAGGGAAAGGGGCTGGCGAGGTGCCCGTGGGGCCTGCCCTGCCACATACCTGCCGGGTCACCGAACCCCAGCTGGTGACTCACGGCTGCTCCCTGCCCACGCCTGGCACTGGTGCTGGCACACGCCACCCCCACACCCCCGGGCCCCACACAGGGCTTTCGGCACAGGGGGCCCTGACCCCCCCCAGAAGGGACAGCCAGCACCCCAAGGAGAAAGGAGAGACACGCACCCCGCAGAGAGGGAGCCCCGGAGGAGACAGGAGAGCCCCGAAGGAGAGAGCCCAGGAGCGGAGCCGCCATGGCGCCGGAGGGCGAGGCCAGCACTCACGTCAGGAGGGGATGGCGGCCTCCGGCGTCCACAGGGATCCCCGGCACAGCTCGGCCTGGCTGGGGGAGAGCTGCTGTGGACAGAGAAGGGGAAGGAGGGTAAATCCCACTGTGTGCCTCAGTGCTATTCTCCCACCACCCATGAGACACTCCTGACTCAGACCACCCTTCATGGATGCAGGGTACAAGTGGTCAGGCCCTGCCACAGCTGCGCAGTCTCTGGCTTGGGCTGTGAGGGGAAGGAGGCAAAGTGGCCCCAGCTCCCCTTCCGGAAAGTTTTCGGTCCTTTGGGAGCAAGTTTCTCACACTGTGGCTCAGAGCAGCCCCCGCCCAGCTCTCCCTGAGGTGCTCAGCTCTCAGGATCACGGCCAAGCCCTGGCCCTAGCCCAGGACATCCTGCAGCTGGGAGTCCTGCCGATCTGACTGCTCCCTGTGCCCTGGCATGGCCCAGCAGGGAAAAAATAGCAAGGCTGGAAAATCAGGAGCATTTCCTGGGGGAGCGACCCCCTGTCTGTTACTCCCAGCCCAGGGGCTGGCTCAGAGCCCGCCCACAGGCAGCTCCTGGCCCGGGACAGCCCATTCTGCGGTTGGCACCAGCCACCCCGGCCTTCCCACGGAGGCAGCTCGAGGCACTGCGGCTCGGGAGGAACCCGGGCCCCGTGCCGGCGACCAGACCTCAGCTCCGTTACATTCCCAAGCCTGGGATGGCTCGGAGTGATATCCCCCTCCCCACTGCCACTCCTCCCGGCTTCCGGTTGGTCCCTGTGCCCTCACCTCGTCTCAGCGACAGGGTGTCCATCATCCCCCATTCCCAGCTCGCCTGCTGCAGGTGGGGGCATCTGGGGGGCTTCACCGGCAGGGTCTCCATCTGCCTCCCCGCCGGGACGCTTCCGGAAAGCAACAAAGGTCTTGGAGCCGAAGCGGGAGGAGGGGTCGGTGCAGAAGGGCGAGAGCCAGGCCCGGTCTGGACTGCCCGGGCCCTCCCTGCTGTCCATCTTGGCCAGGATCTCCTCCACGGTGGTGCCCGGGAACCGCTCCGGCCTGGCGGCCACCGGCACCGGCGTCACCTTGAAGGGCGCCGGGCCCTTGCGTGAGGGGGTCGGCGGGGCCGGCGGCACCTCCTCCTCGGTGCCTGCGACCGAGGGCGACGAGGGCCCCTTCCCATTGGGGGTCTCGGGTGATCTGACGGTGAAGGAGGGGCGCCGGAGGGGCCCCCCCGCGCCTGCCCCGCTGTAGGGCTGGGGCCCGGCCAGGCGGTTCATCTTCTCGGCCGAGGGCAGCTCGGGCCGGGGGTGCCGCGGGCCCGGCGTGGGGGGTGGCACCGGGGGCTTGGCGGGCACGGCCGGCTTGGGCAGCACGCGGGGCTTGGGCCGCACCGGCGGCTTGGGGCGCGGGCTGCCTGCAGAGAGCAAGGGAGGGGCATGGGGTCAGCGGAGTGGTGCGGCCCCCCACACTGGGAACAGCCCTCGGGGGACTGCCCCAGCACCCCGCCCGCCCCGATGGCCCCCAGCCCGGGGTACTGACCTTTATCGGGGCTGCCGGCCAGCCCGGCCCCCCCAGTGCCGGCAGGGGAGGCGCAGGGCACGGCGGGGGGCAGGGGCTGCGGCTGGGAGGCCATGGTGAGGTAGGGACGTGGGGCACACGGCACGGGTCAGCCCCTGGGGAGAGAGGGAGAATCGTTGTGGGGAGCGCCCCGAGCCTGGGGGAACCCAGCCACCCTGTGGGGCCCCGTGCCAAGCCCTGTCCAGCTGTGCCAAACGGTGATCACACCGTGGTGCCACCCTTAGTACACTGGCCCCGGCTCACCTGAGCCGGCCTGGCCCCAGCAGCAGACCCAGACACGGTCCCAACCCCCCCGGAGCCACAGGGACCCCACACTGCACCGCCGAACGCCGTGGGGCCGCTCCTTTACCTGCCTGACCCCGTGTTAACCTGTCCCAGCACACACGTGTCACCCTCACCGACCTTCGCCAAACCCCCCAGCGCCGAGCTGGCCCCCAGTTTGCCCCAGTCCCCATCTCCGCTCCCTGCCCAGGTCACTGCCGGCCCCCCCGAGCCCCCGGCAGCCCAGGAGGCACCGCCCGGTCCCCCGAGACCCTCGGCCAGCCCCTCTCAGGGGCCGCGGGTGCCCCACTCACCTTCCCCACATCAGCCTCATGTCGGGGGCGGGCCGGGGACGCACGTGGGGGGCGCAGAGCGGGCGGGGAGGAGGGGTTACTGTCCCTACGGGTCTCACGCTGCTGCCGCCGCCTCTCCCGTGACTCACCGGGGCTGCGGGGACAGGAAAAACCCGCTCGGTGCCTCCTCCTGGCCCTGCCCTCTCTCCCCTGCCCTCCCCCCGCCGCCCTCCTCTCCCCGCCTCGCTGCCTCCTGCCCCGCTGGGGTCCACCCTCCCCAAGACCCCCCTCCTCTCGCCTTCCACGGGGAAAGCGCCGCCACAGCCCACATCTGGCAACCATCCGGCCCGTTTCCCAGCCCGGGATGGCGGCGGGGCCCCGGGATGCGGGTCCGGCCCCTCGGGGTCCTCCGCCAGCGCGGCCTAGCCTCGTTGCCACGGCAACGAAGCCTCCGATCGAGTGGCTGAGTAGGCCGCGATCGCGGCCTAGCGCCGTCCCCATGACAACGAAGCCCCCCACTCAATTTGGGGGTCCCGGGCCCATGGTGCCCTCCGAGGCCGAAGCCGTGTGGTCCCCCGGCGGGCGCCACGGGCCCGGTGGGATGCCGGTTACCCGTAGCCCCGTGCCGGCGAGAGACCCCCACTCACCCTCCACCGGCGCTGCTCATGCATATTAATGAGCTGCCCGGCCACGCCCCCGACGGCGGAGAGGGGCGGGGCCGCGCGGCGCCGCGTGGCGGGCGGACCATAGAGAGGGGCGGCCGGAGAGCCCTCCAAAATGGGGGCGGGGGAGAGGCTGCAGCCCTCCAGCACTCCCCGAATCAACCTCGGGGGCCGCAACAGCCGAGCAGGACCCCCTGGACACCCCCGGTTACAAATTATCCCATTCCCGGGGTCCTCCAGCCGCGGGGCTGCTGCCAGAGGGGCAGTAACGCGCATTTAGGCGGAGGCTGCTGTGACAATAGAGCCCCACCACCATTTGGGCATCCAGCGTCCCTTGTGCCCACCGGGGACCCGCGGATTCCGCCCCGGGGGACTCCTGCTTCCCCGTAGCCCCATCCCAGCGGTGCCAGTAAAGGCAGCGGAAGGAGGGGGGCACAGGCAGCCATGGGGCCCCCCCGGGGCTGGTTCCAGACCGGGAATCCGCTGCAATCAACACCGGAGGGGAAACAGGCCTTAATCGGATCATCCCCCTCATGAGAGAGGTAGAAAAACCCCCAAATGGCATCAGGATCGAGCGAGGGGCTGTAATTAGGAGCCCTGATGGCTGAGCAGGGGCTGGGGGCCGCTAATGGAGGGTGGGGAGAGAGTGAAGTCAGCCCTGGAAGCGGTTCAAGGAGGGGAATGAGCTCCCGGATGGCTGCAGGAAGGAAGGAGGGATGGGGGAGCCAGCCCCACACCCACACAAACACCATCAGTGGGTTTTTTTTTTTATTCAACCCGAGTTGCCATGTGAACAGACCCAAAATACAAAAAAACAACACCAAAAAAAAACCAGCGAGGGAAGGAAAGGAGAGAAACCCAAGTGTTTAGAAAAAATAAACTGATGGGATACACCCGTGAGGGACTGAGGAGGCACCTCCTGCCACCACGGGGTGCTGGGGGGACAGGGGAACCTGGCCCTGCTCCTGGGTGGGAGCCATCCAGAGCCCGGGACCCTGGTCCCTGCCGCGGGGCTGGCCCGCCCAGTCCTCTCCTCTGGGATCCAGCCTGGAGCCAGCTGGGATGGCGCTAATCCGAGCCCGAGGCAGAGTCCTCTGAGCTGGGGGGCGGGCTGGCAGCTCCCTCGTCCTCCGAGTCCTGCAGGCGGGGGACAAAAGTCAGCAGGGGACAATGAAGGCAGGGCAGTATCCCGCACCACAGCGGGGACAGGGTGGTGGTGGTGACTTGGGGACACACCGAGGGATGTCCCCAAGGACATGAAGTACCAGAAGGACCCAGCCTCTCCAGCAGAAACCAGCAGGATGCTCCCCAAGGAAGAGAGGCTGGGGCCCTCCCAGACAGTTGTTCCCCAGGGAAGAGGGACCAGCACCTCCCCCAGTTGTGACCCCCACCTCCTTCTTGCTCTCTGCAGAGGAGCTCTCATCGCTGGACACGAATTCCTTGCTCTTGAAGCTGTCACTCATGCCCTTAGCCGGGGACTTGGAGGATGAGGATTTGGAGGTGGCACCTTTCTTGTCCCCTTTCCCCTTCACCTGCTTCTCCTGCTTCTTCTTCTTCTTCTTCGACCTCTCCCTGCACAGGATTGGGTGAGCAGAGGGGAGAAGAGCCACATTACCTGGCTGGCCCTGGGAGCAGCCCGATTTTGGGGGCCAAGCCCTGCCACCCCTTGCCAGCACACTCACCCCCTGTGGCTGTCGGCCTTGCTGCCCACACTGTATTCCTTCATGGCCTTCTCGTAGTCCCGCCTGGCATCTTCCGCCTTCCGATCCCATTCCTGCAGCCAGAGCACAAGGTCAGCAAGGCCCCCCTCCTCCTCCACCATCCTCCAGCACCCACCTGCACCCCACCCTGCTCCCACTTCTGATTACCCAGCTCACCAGCCTGAGGATGTCCCCACCCCTTCCCAACTCCCCATCTGTGCAACTCCAGGCTCCCAGGAGCAAGGAAGGGCCTTCCATAGCCAGCCTCCCCTCCTGTACCAGGCCCAGCTCTACCCTGGGCCTCCCATCCCTCACCTCCTTCTTCTCCTTGGACATGGCTTTCCAGAGCTCCCCAGCCTTCTTGGACAGATCAGTGATGCTGATGCCAGGGTGGTCCGACTTGATCTTCTCCCGGCTGGCATTCAGCCAGAGCATGTAGGCTGACATTGGGCGCTTGGGAGCGTTCGGATCCTTCCCCTTCTTGCTCTGGGAGGTAGAGAACACTGTGGAAGCCCAATGCACCCCTCACCCAACACCTCAGGACCGGGCTCTGCTTGCCTCTGCAGTCCCCACCAATCCCTGGGAGTGGGGCTGAAGGGTCACAGCTGCAGGTCAGGCTGCTGGAGAACAGCCAGACAACAACCAGGATAGGCTGGGCATGGGAAAAACATGCCCTTGGGAGAGGCTCGGCCTGGACCCATCTGGAGGCAGCAACACCAGGGCAGACAACAGCTCTGGCCAGGGCACTGGTGAGTGCTGCAGAGGCTGAGGTGGGGCTGTGACCTGCCTGACCCCGCTCCAGGAGCTGGTCCTGCTCGCACAGCAGCCCCTCACCTCCGGCTGCTTCTTGCGGGGCTTGCGGTCCTTGACGATCTTGGCCTTCTTGGCCGGTTTCTTGTCGTCGCGGTCGCTGTCGCCATCGCCGCTGGAGGAACTGGCCGAGGCGTTGCTGTCGAACCTGCACAGGGGCACCAGCCTCAGAGCTGCCCCCAGACACCACAGCCCTGAGGCTTCCCGGGCTGGAGCTGCCCTGCTCCCGTTACAGCCCTCAGGGGAGTGGCCTTCCACGAACGCGGCTCATTGTGTTCCGCTTCCTGGACACTCGGAGCTCTCATGGCGCCAGGGCTCAGCTTCAAGCTCCCCCCACGACTCCCACCCATCCTCACCCCAGCCTGGGGCTTTAACTCTCCTCCCAACTGTTCTCTTTCCCGAAAAGTGCAGCCAAGGCCTCCCCTGGAGCCCTTCCAGAACTTTCTCATACTGCCTGATGTCATTACAATGAAGTGAGCCCAGAACTGCCCCAGCTGACCAACATTCCCAAACCCACGGCTGTACATTCCCAAATCCAGGTGATCCCAGTCATGCTGTGAGCATCTCTCAATGCTCACACAGCCCTAGAACAGCACCTTCCTATGGGGCTTTTGGATAGAGTCTTGCCTGGCCTCTACTCACTCTTCAGCTACGTCATCATCCTCTTCTCCAGGGTTGAAGGATGAGTCTGGAGGAGAAAGTGAGGGCTCAGTGCTTCAGATCATCATGGGGAGCAGGAGCTGGAGCACCATGGCAGTCCCTCACAGCCCCAGCCCTCACCTGTCTCCTCCCCAGATCCATCACTGCTGTCATTGGCATTCTCCTCCCGGATCTTGCCCTCCTCTTTCATCCTCTCCAAGTAGGCATCGTGCTGGTCCTCGTCAGAGTCAGCATATTCATCATAGCTCTGCTTCATTCCCTGCAGAGAGGTGGGATGAGAGCTGCTCCCTGTGCTCCCCTCTGGAACACAGCCCTGGGTGAGCACAGCCCTGGGCATGCACAGGCCAGGGCACAGACACAGCCATGTCCCCTCCATCCCCCCTCAGGGCCCCGGAGAGAGGGGCAGAGCAGTTATGGGGGTTAGGGGGGCCCTCGCACACCACACTGGGGTTACTGGGTTAGTCAGAGACCACCACGGCCATGCACAGGAAACCTGCACCAGGAGGAGGAGGAGAAAGAGGAAGGGATATCGCACGGACCTTTTTCCTCTACAAGGGCAAGGAGAGAAAAGAGAGGTGAAAAAAGGAGGGAAAAGCAGCTGGATTCTGGGAGAGGGCAGTGCCAGCGGGCAGGAGCCTGGCCCCGTGTGGTTGATACCTCCTTCAGGCCCCGGTTCTTGATGTTCAGCTTCTTGGCATTGACGAAGTCAAAGAGCTTCCCGTACTCCTCCCTGTGGGAGAGGGCACGGTCGGGCCGGGGGTGCCAGGGAGCCCCGGTGGGCACAGCCAGGCTGGCCCCACAGCCCACACCCACCTCTCGATGCTGCTGAAGGTGTACTGGGTGCCCTGCTTGGTCTCGATCTCGAAGTCGAAGGAGCGGGTGGTGGTGGTGCCGCGGGCGAAGTTGACGAAGGAGATCTCGTCGAAGCGGATGTGCACCGGGGGCTTGTGCACGTAGATGAAGCCCCTCTCCAGCGGGTACAGCAGCCCTGAGCTGGCCTTGTAGGAGCAGGTGATGCACTGGGCTCCAGAGTGTCTGCAGGACAAACACTGCTATCCGTGGGGACAAATGTCCTCCCTGTGCCCAGCCCTGGCTGACAGGCCCTGCTCCCCAGCATGAATCACACAGAGAGCCCCTTCCCCCTGGCCATGGGAATGGGGTGGGAAGAGAGGAACTGGCCCTGCAGCTGCTCACCCCTGGAAGTTTCCAGGCACGGTGATCTTGCGGTTCACCAGCGCCTTCATCACCCGGCTGACCATCTCATAGAGGGACCCTGACATGTTCTTGGTGAGCCGCCCCTCAAAGCGCTTCTCCACCTCCTCCCTGTGTGGAGGGAAAGAGGGCAGAGGTGAGAACAGGGGTCTGGGGTGTAAGTAGCTCCCTCAGGATCCAGGGAGGGGTCTGGGAAGCGGCGTGGCATCGGAGAGCTCACTCATTCATGTTGAGGGTCAGGGAGATGTCCTCATCCTTGGAGAAGAGCAGGATCAGGAAGTGGTAGCGGGTCTGGCCTTGCTTTATCGGGGGGTCCAGGCTGATCTGGAAAGAGAAGAGGAGGTGAAGACAGGAAACCCCCGCCAAACCACCCCCAATGGGGAGGGCTGAGCCATTCCCACTCACCACGAAGAACATCTGGCGCTGGTCCTTGTGCGGGAGCAGGAAGAGGCGCAGCACGGTGGTGTAGGGGATCTTGTAGTCGAAGGTCTTGCCGTGCAGGTGCAGGAAGGTGGGGTAGATGCGGATGTCGTAGCGCCCGCGCGGCGTCAGGCACTGCAGCTCCCGGAAGATGCAGATGGCATCTCCGGTGGCCTGGATCACGTCCGCCTTGGACAGCACGTTCTGGGCGAAGGCCTGCCAGGGAAGCGGTCACAAAGGGTCCCTCGCCGCCAGCCCCCGCCCTCCTGCCGGCCCCACGCACCTCCACGGGGTCCACGCCGTCCTCCTGGGTGGGGGGCACGTAGAACCGGACCTCCATGAGGGAGACCTCGGCGTCATCGTTCTGGTGGAACTCCAGCGTCACCTCGTTCTTGCCCGTGGTGCACTGGGACACGTTGCTGAGCGGGATCTCGAACACCGGCTGCTCCCCGATGTCGAAGGACAGCAGCTGCCCTGCGGGGACATCACAGCCAGCTCAGAGCTGTGCCCCACAAATCCCATCTCCAGCCACGGTTTCGCTCCTCTCCCAAAATCCAGCAGTGCCTCTGCTCTCATCACGGCATTCCCACCCTCCAAAATTTCCAGGCTTTCTCCCTTCCAGCGGCATCCCTGGCAATTGACACTGATCAGAAACACACAAAAAGGAACTGTCTGTCCTGGGTCCCAGAGCTGGAGGCAAACCCACCAGCTCCCCAGGCTCCCTAAAGAACAGCAAACGTGCAGATTCCACATCAAACATGGCCCCCTGGGATTCAGGGTCCTCCTGCTCTCCTGAGATGGCAAATATCCTCACTGTCCCTGAGGACATCCCTAGAAAGCAGCTGCTCCTAAGGGAATGGCTGCGGCAGCAGAACAGCCACACTGGTGGGAACATCCCACCCCACGGTCTCAGGCTGCCACTGGAACTCACCTCCAAACCTCACTGTGCCCCAGTTCCAGCCCTTCACACACAGATCCTTCTCTGCGAGCTCCAGGCAATAGTGGGCCTTGAAGAAATCTGAGAGCTTGTCAAATTCCTGCGTTGGGCAAGAGGGAGGCAACACCGTCAGGAACCAGCAGTGCCCAGAGCCCCGGGTGACACACAGCCCCTGGAGGGGGCAGAGCTGTTCTGGGGCTGGCAGGGAGCACAGCTGGATCTGGGACAGCGGGAGCAGGGAACAGGGACTCACCGACTCCCGGAACCCGTCATACTTGTAGACATGGCCGTTCTTGGTGAGCAGCTTGAGGCCATGCCCCAGCGCCACGCGCCGCCACACGCCCTCGGCCAGCTCTGAGGCCTGGATGTTGTCCACCTTGCCTGTCTTGCTGTTCTTAAAGATGACGCCCTGCCGGCTCAGCCGCAGCCGCCCATCGTTCTGTGGGAGAGCTGGGCATGAGGTCCCGTGGAACCATGGAGGAACCATGGCCCCGTTGGGTGCTCCAGGCACCCCCACCACCAACCCCCCACAGCTTCATCCCCCACACTCTCCTCACCACACAGCATTCGCTCCCCCCATCCACACCCCAACGCTGGAAGCGCCCCTGGGGCCATCCCCGTGTCCCCTCGCTTACCATGGACCCCTTCACCTCCTGGTAGATCTCGTTGAACTCCAGCGTGTCTGCCATGGCGGCTGCGGGCTGTGGGAGGGGACGGGGACGATCTCAGGGGGGTTCAGCAGCCCCCCCAGCCCGGCATGCCCGGGGCAGCGGCAGAGCAGTCACTCACGGCACCTGTGGGAGGACAGCGGGTGAGCCCCCAAAACCAAACCTGCCCCCCAGGCTGCCCCCGCCCCGGCCCCGCACGCTGCCTCTCGCGGCGGCCCCTGGCTCACTGACGGGGCGAGCCCCGGCCCACCTCGCCCCTTCCCCGGCTGTGCCGTGGCCCAGCTGCCCTTCCTGCAGCCCTGGGCCACAGCTGTGTCATCGCACCTCTCGAATCCTCCCACCCAAGCCCTTCCCCTCCCTCATACGGCCTCTCCGCACCCCAAGCCACCCACCGCACCCCCAAATTCCTTCCGAGCCTGAGCGCCCGGGCCTCCCCCCAACCCCAGGCCTGCCCACCCGCACCGAGCCTACTTCCATCTCAGGCCCGTTCCCCCATCCCAGCCCGGCCTGCCCTGACTCCGGGCTCCCCCCGCGAGACGCAGACACCCCCCATCCCCCGGCAAGCCCCCCCGGCCCCCCCGCACCGCTGCCGCCGCCGCTTTTCCCGCCTGCGCAGCGCGAACCGCGCGGAGCCGCCGCCGCCGGAAGTCGCGCGACTTCCGCCATGGCGCCGGTCCGCGCTGGCGTCCCCTGGCGACGGGGCGGGCCCGTGCAGCGCGCTCCGCCGCGCTACGAGCGGCCCCGCCCACCGAGGGGAGGGGCGGGGCCAAAGCGGCCGGGACCCCGCCCCCCAGCCGCCGTTGTGCCCCGCGCAGAACCACAGAGAGAAGGGGGAGAGACCCCATTGGCCAGCACGGGGCGAGCCCCGTGACGTCACCTGGTGTGGGGACAACCCTCCCCCCAAAGCCGGGGCGCCCCAAAGTGTTGGAACCGGACAACGGGGCGGCCCAGAGCGGGGCACCCCCGAAACCGCACGCACGGGGCACCCCCCTCCTGCTCCCGTGCCGGGGTGTCTCCCCAAACCAGGCATCCCCAGGCTGGGGCGCACCCCCCACGTGCACCCCCGGGCGGGGCTCCCCCGTGCCCGCATGGATCCCCCATTTGGGGCTCCCCCCCATAGCGAGCCCGGGGAAGGACCCTGCCTGCACCCCTCCATCCCCCCAGGAACGGGGGGGCGACCCCTCCCGTCCCCCCGGGCCCTGCCCCCGCCTCCGCCCGCCCGCACCGCCCTCGCTGCCCGCACCCCTGCGGGTGCTGCCCACACCCTCCGGTACCCGCACCCTGCCCGCGCCCCTGCCGGTACCCCTGCCTGCACCCGCGCCCGCCCTGCCCTGCCCGGATCCCCATTCACTGCCCGCAGCCCTGCCCTGCCCATCCCGCATCCCCCCCGGTTCCCGCAGCCCCGCCGTGCCCTGCCCGCAGCCCCGCCTTGCCCTGCCCGCAGCCCGGTCGCCGGCCGCCCCCCGCGCTGCCCATGTCCCTCCAGCGCTCCCGCACCCGCTGGGTGAGCGACTTCTTCTCCTACGAGACCACCAAGTCGGTGGTGGTGAAGAGCTGGGTGGTGGGCGTCGTCAACCGCGGCGTCCAGCTCCTCATCCTCGCCTACTTCGTCGGGTGAGCCCCCCGGCAGCCCCGGGACAACCCACGGGCACCTCTGGGACACCCGACCCCGGGACATCCCCCGGGACACACCCCCGAGCCCCTTCCCGGCACGGCGGCAGCGCGGTGACTGCCACTTGCTGCTGCAGGTGACACCCGGGGGTGACGGCGTGTGGCAGCAGCGTCACAGCGAGGGGACACCGGGCGGCGGTGCGGGGTCAGGGGGTGGCCAGGCCGGGAGTAGGGGGTGATGGAGCAGAGCAGGGACGGGAGAGCGGGTGACAATGTGCCAGTGCCGGGAATTCAGGTGTGCCGGAGCAGGTGACACGATGGGGACAGCCGGGAGAGTGTGCCGGCTGACAAGGCGGGACAGAGGATATCGGTGCGAGTGACACAAGGGGGACAGCCAGAGAGCGTGCCGCTGCGGGTGACAGGAGGGTGGCAGCGCAGGTGACATGATGGGGACAGCAAGGTGTCGTTACGGGTGACACAAGGGGGACAGCCAGGAGAGCGTCTCGGGTGGATGACGGGAAGGGAACAGCGTGGGTGACACCGAGGGGCAGAGAAGCCAAGCCGCTCGGCCCCAGGGGATGACAGATGGCGATGACCCGCTCTGGGGTCCCTGTCCCCGAGTGCTCCCGGGGTGACAGCAGCCACCGGCGGAGGGATCACTAGTGGCTGTCGGGGACCGGCATCTGCTGGCGCTGGCAGCTCCGGGGGCCGGGATTCACGGGCAGGTCCGGGGGTGCCGGGGGAGGCAGGAGGGGCCCGGGGGGTGCCGGTGGTGTCCGGGGGTGGCTGTCCCCAGCGTCACCCGCGGTGCTGTCCCAGCTGGGTGTTCCTCCATGAGAAAGCGTACCAGGTGCGGGACACCGCCATCGAGTCCTCCGTGGTCACCAAGGTGAAGGGCGTGGGGCGCTACGCGGGGCAGGTGATGGACACGGCCGACTACGTCACGCCCCCCCAGGTGAGGACCGGGGACCGGAGGGGTCGCTGAGGGGCGCGGGGCCACCCCCGCCCGGTTCCCTCCTCCCCGGACGGGTCGTGTGACAGAGACGTCCCGCAGGGCACCTCGGTGTTCGTGGTGGTCACCAAGCAGATCCGAACCGAGGACCAGGCGCAGGGCGTGTGCCCGGAGGTGCGGGGGGGCAGGGGGCGCTCGGGGGGACCCCTCGATGAGCCCCCCGCCCGCTGACCCCCGCCCCGCAGAGCGAAGCCGCGTTCCACTGCTCGGCGGACCGGGACTGCCGGGAGCTGAGCCCGGGCACGAGCAACGGTGAGGGACCCCGGTGGGAACGGGGGCTGAGGGGGGCGAGGGACCGGGGGGAGCCACCATGGGCGGGAGTGAGGGACCCTCGGTGGGCTCAGGGGGCTGGGGGGGCCCGGGGCTCTGATGCGGGAGCTGGAGGTCTGGGGGAGCCGGGGGTTCAGGGTCCCAGGGGTGCCAAAGGGGCTCCAGGGATCCCTGGGGGATCAGGGGTCTCAGGGGCGCTCCCGAGGGTACTGAGAGCGGTCCGGGGGTCCCAGGGGTACCTACGGGGGTCTGGGGTCTCAGGGGTGCTGGCAGAGATGCTGAAAGTGGTCCAGGGGTCCCAGGGGTGCTGACGGGGGTCTGGGGTCTCAGGGGTGCTCTCGAGGGTACTGAAAGCAGTTCGGGGGTCCCAGGGGTGCTGACGGGGGTCTGGGGTCTCAGGGATGTCCCCGAGGGTACTGACAGAGTAGAGGGGTCCCAGGGGTGGTGACAGAGCTCAGGGGGCCGAGGTCCCAGGTGTGCTGACAGGGTTAGGGGTCCCAGGGCTGCTGACAGGGCGCTGTGTCCCCTACAACGCGACCCTGCGCACCTGTGAGATCCAGGGCTGGTGCCCGCCCGAGGTGGACACCGTTGATGTGTAAGTGGCGCCAGGGGGACATAGGGAGGAGCAGGGGACATGCCTCCTGCCATGTCCTCAGTGTCACCCCCCTTTCTCTAGCCCCATCATGCTGGAAGCTGAGAACTTCACCCTCCTCATCAAGAACAGCATTCGCTTCCCGCTCTTTGGCTTTGAGAAGTGAGTGGCACAAGCCACGGGGGGACACGGGGGGACATGAGGACAGGGGTGGGGTAACACAGGGACACGGGGACAGGGGACATGGGGACACAGACACAAGATGGTGGGGGGACACTGGGATGGGGGTCCGTGAACCCCAGACTGCTGCCTGATGGCACAACCCTCTGTGTCCCCCGTGTCCCGCTGTGTCCCCAGGACCAACCTGCCACCCCCTGGCAGTGGGGCGGAGCTGGGCCGGTGTCGCTTCCACCCACAGCTGCAGCCCCTGTGCCCCATCCTGCGCCTGGGGGACGTGGCACGTCTGGCTGGGCAGGACTTCCCTGCGCTGGCTGCCACCGTGAGCAGGGACACAGGGGACATGGGAGGCACGGGGGGAGAATGGGGTGGGTGTGGAGACACAGGGGTACAAGCAGGTGGGATGTAAGGGCATAGGGACGTGGGACTTGGGCACACAGAGACATGGGATGTGGGATGTGGGGACATGGGGACATGGGATGGGGGGATATGAGGTGGTGGGATGTGGACATGGAAGATGGGGACATGGGCTTGCATAACATGGGGACACAGGATGGAGCAATGAGGGATGCTGGGAACAGGACATGGGGATACGGGAACACGGGACAGAGTGATGATGTGGGGCTTGACACAGGGACATGGATGGGGTTTGGGATGTGGGACACGGGGACATGGGGTGTACAGACATGGAGATGTGACACATGGGGTGCAGGGGGATGTGGAGCTTGGGGAGATGGGAATGTGGGATGTGGCTTCATAGGACATGGAGCACAGGGCCGTGGGATGCAGGACTCTGAAACTGTGGGGACCTGGCACCATGGGGCCAGGGTCCGTGGTGCTGATGCAGGGCTGGGGCAGGGGGGGGTGCTGGGGATCAAGATCGGGTGGGTGTGTGACCTGGACCGGGCCTGGGAGCGCTGCCTGCCCCGCTACTCCTTCACCCGCCTGGACAGCCTGGCCCGGACCCCTGCCCCTGGATACAACTTCAGGTATTGCCAGGACACGCACAGCACAGGGGCGTGCACTGCCTGGCATGGCTCCTGTCCCCATGTCCCCGTGTCACCGCAGGCACGCCAGGTACTACCGCTGGCCTGATGGCTCCGAGCGCCGCACCCTCATCAAGGCCTTCGGGATCCGCTTTGATGTCCTGGTGTATGGCAGTGTACGTGTGGGGCAGGGGACTCGCGGGGTCACAGGGGGCTCGGGGACTCCGGCCAACCAGGGCTCTGCTCCCCCAGGCCGGGAAGTTCGGCATCGTTCCCACCCTCATCAACACGGTGGCTGCTTTCACCTCCATCGGTGTGGTGAGTTGGGGACGTTCTCAGCCCCGGAGTGGTGACACCTCCCAGGGCACAAGGGGGAAATCCCACGGCCACGGGGCATGGGGACAGAGCACGGCTGCAGGGTGGCAGCAGCCTGGCTCTGTGGGGGTGCGGGGGTGCTCCACAGTGCGGGGCCTCCCCACACCAACGCTGCTGCACCCAGGGCACAGTGCTGTGCGACATCATCCTGCTCAACTTCCTCAAGGGCGCTGAGCACTACAAGGCCCGCAAGTTCGAGGAGGTCAGACGTGGGGCCGGGGTGCCCTGGGGATGGGGACACCTCCGAAGGGCTCGATCGGCCCCCCCCGGCTGCAGGGACTCACCCAGTGCCCGTCCCCTGCCCCACAGGTGTCAGAGGCCGGCGTGCCCGCCACCCCCTCAGCGTGTCCCCCCGGAGCGCTGGGGACCTGCTCCCGGGACAAGCAATCCACCGACTCGGGCACCTTCTCCCTCGGCCTCTAGCCCCGGGGGCCATGTGGCAGCCCCCCGCCTGTGCACCCCGCTGTGGGGCAGCCCACGGCCTGCTGAGGGGCTCGCCGGGACCCCCGTCAGGCTCCCACTGCCCGCCCAGTCTCCAGTGCTCCCCCTGTGAGCCCCATCAGCATCTGACTGTCCCCAGTGCCCACCCCGGGTTGTCCCATTACATCCCAGTGTCCCCAGGAGGTGCCCCAGCCCTGTCCCTTGCCCCCAGCACCTCCCTGTCCCTGCCACCCCACGCCGGGGGCTGCACCCCCCCAATAAACCCCTGGCTCGCAGCACCCCTCCGTGTCCAGCCTTGGGGGGGCGCGGGGCGGTTTTGGGGGGCCGACGGGCAGGGTTGGGGTGTGGGAGCAGAGGGAAGAGGGTCAGGGCGCTGTCCCTGGGACGGGGGACACCGCGGGGGGAGCTGCCAACAGGAGGAGCGCTGTGCCCGCGGCGCAGCCCGTGGAAGGGGCACAGAGGGACGGGAGCTGTGCCCTAGGGGTGTCACTTCCTCGGTCGGATGTGAGTAACTCTGCGGATTCGGAGGAAGCTCCCGGATCCCTCCTCGTGCAGGGCCAAGCGCTGCCCTTCCTGCTCGGGGTGGCGGGGGTGAGGTCTGGCTCTCCATCCCATTCCGTGGGGGCTCCCACCCCAATCCCCCTGCAGAGCCAGTGCAGAGGGAGCCCTGAGCCTGGCTTGTTCCCAATGGAGCCCTGGTGCCGAGTCCTGGGGTTCACTCCTGGGAATGAGGAACGAGGGTCCCGAAGCCCCTCGCTGGTGCCCAGGGCAGCCCCCGCCCCGCAGGGAGAGCGGCTCCTGCCCTCCCCCCGCTGCAGATAGCGGGGCTCCTTATCAGCCCCGCGGATTCCTTATCAGCCCAGCCCTGGCCACCCACCCACCACCCGTGGCCACCACAAACCCAGCCTGGGGGGCTCCTTCCCCGGCGCCGAGACCCCCTGGGTGGCACCGAGGACGAGCCATCCCAGCTTTCAGGACAGCGAGGGGGTGACCGGGACACTCAACCCGCAGTTTTTTGGGAAGGGGAGAGACTGGAAACGGATTCGTGTGTGGCGACTGGAAATGGATACTTGTGCCGTGTTCCAATTAGGACACAGATAGCTGGGAGCGTTATTAATAGTCATTAATAGAACTGCTCATTAGCGGTCCTGCTCATTAACGGGGCTCCGGCCAGGGCGGGAGCAGCCCGGGGAGCCTGGCTGCGATCCCGGGGGGCTCATTAGCAGTGCCGGTGTTTCCCCGTTAATGTTGCTAATTAGCGGAAAGGCTCGAGCCGTGTCTGTGCTGGTGCCTGCGGGGTTCCGGCCCTTCCTCATCCAGTTTGGGATTTGAACTGGAACTGGGCACCCTCGAGGTTCTGCCACCAGTTTCAGCAGTTTTGGGGTTTAATACCTCTCTCCCCGCATGGCGGCTGCCCCGGCACTGAGGTACGGGATCGCTCCTTATCTCCAGCCTGATTCAGCCCTGGTTTGCTCTCCCGGCTGGCACTGCAGCTCTGGGTTCTGGTTTGGTGTCCCCGCCCCCGGGGCTCCCTAACCTGCACCCACATTTACTAGTCCCTTTGCCCCCTACACCACTCTGCCTCATTTTGGAGGCTCCTGTGAGCTCTCCCCCCATTTCAGCCCCTGAATTCCCCCCACAACCCCTCCTTTACACCTCTTTGCTGGTAGAAGGGCCCCACTGGGCCAGCGGGGGGTCCCGGGGGCTCTGTGCCCCCCCCCCAATCTCTGTCCCTGCACTCGGGTGTTAAATCTGCCCCTTCCCACAGCCCATACCGGGCTTAATCCCCCCCTACAGCCCCAGCCCAGGCCCCAGCCCAGCCCCCCCTGCGTGTCCCGGTGGATTTGGGGCTCTTCAGACCTCACTCTGCAAAGTCCCGCTCTGCCTCTTCGGTTCTTTTCCCCAGAGCTGGAGCGGTGAGAGTTCAGTCCCAGTGGGACAGTCCCAGACCACGTCGGGGGGCTTCCCTCCTCCCCCCAATGTTTATTTATCGGGGGGGGGGAAAGTTTGTTCCCTCTTGGCTCAGCGTTGCCCGCGTCCGGCTCCATGAGCAACCCGCGGAGCTGGGACACACCGAGAGCTCCGGTGGCAGCCGGTCCTGCGGCAGCTGCTGCCCTAAAATGGTCTTTTTACAGCGTGGGGGGTCCCAGAACCCCCCTCCCCGCCCTGGATTTTTGGTAAGTGTATAAATCTCCTCGGCACGTTGTGCTCAAAGTGGGGCCCCGGCGCTGGGGGACCCCCCGGAGCCACCGCTGTGTGCACAGCGAGGCAAAACGGGGAATCCCAAGCGCCAAATGCAAAATGCCAAATGCACACTCTCCCCCCGCCGCGGTGCCACTCCCCCCAATGTGACACCAACCCCTAGTGCGACCCCCCTGCTGCCAAGTGCCCGATGTGACACTGCCCGTGCGAAATGCAGCCCCGATGTGTGACACCCCGGCGCTGAATGCGGCGCCCCGAGGTGAAACCCCAAATGCTGGCTGAAGCCCCCCCGCTCCTGAGCTCCCCACAGCCGGATCCCAGCACCCAGCGCCACCGCGGTGGGCGACCAAACCCCCCGGGCGTGGCGGGGCCGGGGTTATCTCGGGGGTCGGCGCGTTGACACGCGGGTGAGAGCTCGGTAAAACCCCCCGGGAAGGAGCCAGATGGAGGTGGGGGGAGCTGCGAAGTTTCCCACGGGGGCTCCCCCCGGCCCTGCCTCCTGCCCTGTCCTGCCCGTCCCCTCCAGGAGGAGGGCGGGGAGGAGGAGGAAGGGGAGGTAACGCGGTGGGATTCGCTCAGGGGCCGGAGCAGCGGGTGAGCCCGGGATGAGCTGAGCGGAGCGGAGCCCAGCGCCGCCGGGATGGAGGAGGCGACGGACGCCTACACCTACGGCTTCGACAATGATACGGACTGCGAGTACGCGGAGTGGGGCCCCTCGCTGGCCCTGCTGCCCACCATCTACCTGCTGGTCTTCCTGCTGGGCACCACCGGCAACGGGCTGGTCCTCTGGACCGTCTTCAAGGGCGGCCGCGACCGCCGGCGCTCGGCCGACACCTTCATCGCCAACCTGGCCGTGGCCGACCTCACCTTCGTGGTCACCCTGCCCCTCTGGGCCGCCTACGCCTGGCTGGGCTACCACTGGCCCTTCGGCACGGCCGCCTGCAAGGTCAGCAGCTACCTGGTGTTCGTCAACATGTACGCCAGCGTCTTCTGCCTGACCGGCCTCAGCTTCGACCGCTACCTGGCCATCGTGCGGCCGCTGGCCACCGCCAAGCTGCGCTCGCGGGTCAGCGGGCTGGTGGCCACCGTGCTGCTGTGGCTGCTGGCCGCCCTGCTGGCCCTGCCCGCCCTGGTGCTGCGGCGGGCGGCCGCCATCGGCGGGGACACCAAGATCACCTGCTACATGGACTACGGGGAGCTGGCGGCGCAGGGCACGGAGGGCGCCTGGGAGGTGGGGCTGGGGCTCTCCTCCACCGCCCTGGGCTTCGTGGCCCCGTTCGCCGTGATGCTGACCTGCTACTTCTTCATCGCCCGCACCGTGGCCACTCACTTCCGCCGGGAGCGGGCCGAGGGGCCCCGCAAGCGCAAGCGCCTGCTCACCATCATCACGGTGCTGGTGGCCGCCTTCGGGGGCTGCTGGCTGCCCTTCCACCTGGTCAAGACCCTCTACGTGCTGATGGACCTGGAGGTGCTGCCCTGGTCCTGCGCCTTCCACACCTTCCTCAACAACCTCCATCCCTACTGCACGGGCATCGCCTACATCAACAGCTGCCTCAACCCCTTCCTCTACGCCTTCTTCGACCCCCGCTTCCGCCACGCCTGCGCCGCCCTCCTCTGCTGCCGGACCCCCGGCCCCGGCCCCGAGCGCTCCGCCAGCTACTCCTCGGGGCACAGCCACCCCCCCGGCGGCAAGGGGGGCCCCGGCCCGGGGGGCAAGCTGGACCCCGCCACCCAGGAAACGCTCTTCCGCTCCTGAGCCCCTCCCCGACCGCCCCCGGCGCCCCCCGAGCTGGTCTACTCGGGGGGAGCACCCCCTCCGCCTTGACCCAAAGCCTGGCTTGCTTTGGGGATCCCCCGCTGGAAAGCCCTGCTCGCGGGAAGGGGAAACTGAGGCACGGCCGGGGAGGAGCCCCTGGGGGGCTCGGACGGGGGCGGCTACCCCGGCACCCCCAGGGCTTTGTGTTTTGTGACAAATAAATGAATTTTGGTTAAAAAAGGAGCGGGGTGTGCGCAGTTCCCTCGGGGGGCTGGGGGGATGTGGTGGAAGGGAGGATGGAGGGGTGGGGGTATGGAGGATGGAGGGTGTCCATGAGCGGGGGCACAGTGTGTGTGTGTGGGGGGGGGGTGTGTGCACTGTTGGGCATTTCTGCTTGGGACGGATTCTTCTGGTCTCTTCCTCAGCAACACTTTGGGAAATGCAGAAAAACCTCCATCCCAACCCTTCAGGGCATTGCAGCACTGGGATGGGGGTGTTTGACCCCGTGGGGTGGGCACCTGCCTGCCCCAGCCCCCCAGCCGTGATTGTATCAGGCGGCAGCACTGAAATCCCAAATCCCATTTTGGGGCTGTTTTCCTTATCTGAGGCTGGGATGAGCCCTGTGTGACTCACCTGGGAGTGCAAACGGGACCTGGTGCTGTGAAACACCCAAACCTGAGGGGTGGCGACATGGGACCCCCCGGGTGCAGCTGGGGACAGGGGACCCTCCGGGAATGAAGAGGGACACAGGACCCCCTGGGCATTGATGGGAGGTTTGGGCACCGGGCAGGACCCCGGCTCACCCCAAGCAGGATTTGGATGAGCCACCAAATGGCTCCTGTCCCATTTCCCCCCCCCACCCCAGCCCCCGCCGCTTCCTGAGGCTCTGCTCGAAATAAATCTTCCCCCTATTTGCTATTTACATCCTTCATTTATCGGTGATGAACTATGCTATCTCCTCAGCCTTTGTTCTCTCTTGGAAAGGATGCGGGATCATTACTGGGTTCCTTGGGATGCTTCCCGTCGGGGGAGCTGCCTCTGCCTTCCTGCCGGCCCCCACCGTGTTTGGGGGCCACCGCCCACAGCCTCCCCGTGCGGGGACAGTCCTTTGTCCAGAGAGAGGGAACAGAGGGGGTGGCCACGGGGCTGGGGACTGCAACCCCCCAGCTGGAGGGGTGGGAGCCTCTTTGAGGGTTTTGGGGAGTTTCCAGACGGATCTGGTTTGGTCTAAGGGCTGGGGGAGCTTGAGGAGTGGGAATGTTGCATCCAGGGACACGTCCCCAAGTGTGTTTACATTCCAGTGCTGTCCAGGCTCTCTCAGCCCGGAGAGACCCCTGGATGTCTCTCATCCATCAGTCCAACAGTCCCCTCCTCCATCCATCCATCCATCCATCCATCCATCCATCCACCCATCCATCCGTGGGTTAATGGTTTTGGGGTTACAGGGGCTTTGCTGGGTCGATGGTTGGACTTGATCGCAAAGGTGTCTTCCAATCTTGATGATTCTACGATTTTTGCCTTCTCTCCCTCCCTTTGCCCATCCCTCCATCCCACCATCCTCCTTTCCCTCCATCCCTCCACACCCCCAAACACCCCAGCACTGTGGGGGTGCCGGCTTTGCTGCCTCCCCCCTGTCCGGCTCAGCCGCCGGGCGCGGAAATGGCCGCAGGCGCCCAGCCAGCGGAGACGGAGCTGCCGACTTTCTATCCTCGTCTTGGAGATTTCCCTTTCCCTTCCAGGAGGGAAATGTTTGGTTGAGGAGTCTCTGGGGAGAAATGCAGGGACACTCCAGAAAATAACAAGGCCGGAGCTGGGGGTGAGGGGCAGCAGGGCCGGACCACCCGTCGGAAGAAGATAAGGAAGGTGTTGCCTTCCTGAGAGTGCCTGGGGAAGATGAGGAGGGAAGATAGAGGGGGACAGCAGGCTCGGGGGGATGGGGAGCATCCTTGGAAAGGATGGCTGGGGAGTGGGGGGTGGCTGTGATCCTCAGGGAGCCTGGGGGCCCTCAAAGCACACAATGCGATGCCTTGGGGACGCTGCAGGGCCGGGGTTCCCCAAACCGTGGTTGTGGGAATGTGACACTGGGAAAACAGAGGTTATTCTGCACAGGGAGTAAAAGTGGGCTCCGGGGAGGATGGATGCACTAGGGACAGGAATTGGGGCAAGGATGGGGACAGCCCTCCCTCTCCCCACCGCAGCTCTCCCCCCCTGCGCTTTTCCAAGCTGCCAAACGGGATGTTCACCCCCCCCCCCCCCCCCCCCCCCCCCCCACCCCCCCCCCGACCTCCCCCCGCCTCGCATCCCGCCCGGGGGTGCCGAAATAATCTGGTGGTGCTAAGGATGTCCCCGGGCGTCCCCTTTGAAGTGACCTCCGTGTTTACAGCCCGGCTCGGGCTCCTTCACACCTCCCGCCCCAAAGCAAACGGAGGGGGGGGCCGCGTGGGTGGGGGGGCTGCAGCTCCCGTTTGTGCCGGGAAAACTCGGATTTGCCAAAGCCGCGGGAAAGCTTTGGCACCACACCCAGGGCTCAGAAACTTTTGTCACTGTGGGGTGGAAGCAGTGGCTGCCGGGGGTGGCATTTCGGGAGGGTCCCTGCCTCGGTGTGTCGCCACCGTGCCAAGTCCTGGGTGACCCACCCGCTACCCCTTAGGGGGCCAGTCCAACCCCCCCTCCCCCCGCAATATGAGGGGACCCCCGAAGGTCTGGTGGGCCCTGTGTGACCCTGCAGGACTGAGGAGGGGACAGAGGGGAAGGACAGAGAGAGGAAAATGGGTGGAAAAGATGGGGGGCCAGTTTTGGTGGGTGGGGGAGGTTTGGGATGGGAGGTGGGACTGTATTATGTGGATGGACGGATGTGCTGGGAGGAAGGGAACGGTGGGTGCATGGAAGAGGGATGGCAGGGCAATGCCAGGGTTCGGGGGTGCCCCGGGCACTGGGCTGGGCGCTGGCAGCCGCTGCCCCCATCGCTGCCCCGGGGCCGCCGGCGCGGCCGGACGCGGCACAGCTGCTGCCCGACCTCTGGGCTCCGGCCAGGCGGGACGGGGCCCGCGTCCCCCCGCCCGCCCGGAGGGGGTCCCGGGGAGGGGGGGACGCGGAGGTGACCCGGCGGCCACAGCTGGGCCCCGCCGGGGCCGGGAGATGCTGCCGGAGGAATAACAGGAAGCGCTGGAGGGAAGAGCACGGCTGATGCCTTCTGCAGGCTGTGGACGCTGCCTGTGCCCGCCGCACGCACGCGGGTGTCTGTCACACACATGTCACACACGCACAGTGTCCCCCCACACGCACGTCCCTGTCACACACACGTGTCCCCCCGCCACACGCGTGTCCCGGCCCCGGCTGCGCTGACACTCTTTATTGTCGAGGTTTGGCGCTGAAAAATTGCCCCGTGGTACAAAACCCGCGGTTACAAAACGTACAAAGAGCGGGGTCGGGGGAGAAGAGAGAAAAAGGAAAAGAAAAGAAAGGAAAAAAGGAAAGAAAAAGAGAAGAAAAAGAAAAGAAAGAAGAGAAAAGAAAGAAAAGAAAAGAAAAGAAAAGAAAAGAAAAGAAAAGAAAAGAAAAGAAAAGAAAAGAAAAGAAAAGGAAACAGCAAAATCAAAAGACAAGGAGAAACAAAAGAGAAGGAAAACAAAACATAAATATAAATACAAAAAGAAGAGGATGAGGTGAGGCAGAGGAAGGAGCTGGTGGGATGCAGGTGGATGCTCCATGCCCATGTGGCAGGTCCAGGGGTGCAGGAGTTGTGGGGGTGCAGGAGGTGTGGAGCAGGGGGGTTCTTGGACTCACTGAAAGGAAAATAATAAAACCCCAGACAAAATAGAGAAGGCAGAGGCCAAGTTCCCTCTCCTGGGGGCAGCGCTGGGGCTGGGGTGCAGCAGGAGCCCTTTTGGGGTGGGCTGGGGTTAAACCAAACCCCCCTCCCCATGTACTCAGCCTCCATGGGGGACAGGGGAAGGGACAAAGCAGCCCCAAAGTGACCCCAGCCCCGCTCCCCACCTGATGTGCTCCCACAGTGACAGGGTGACACAGACACCAGGGACAGGTGACACAGGCACTGGGGACATGGCTGTTCCAGCTGGACAGAGGGTCGTTGGCTTTCTGCTTTTTTTTCCTATTTTTCTCCTTTTTAGAGCTCCTTCCACCTCCCAAACCTCCCCCAGGGTGGGCAGGGCAAGGCTGCTGCCCAGTTTGTCCCCAAAGAGGAGGCAGATGTCATCTCTGGGAGACGCAGTCCCTGGAAGGTGCCATCCTTGGGAGATGCCATCCCCTGGAGATGTCACAGCCCATCCCACTGCCAGGCTCGGTGGTCCCGGTGCTGTTCCAGCACATCCCGACGTCAGCAGCAAGGTGCAGGCATGCCCTGGAATGGTGGTGAGGAGCTGGGTGTCAGCAACCCTTCCTGCCCCTCTGGATTCTTGGGGAGGCTGGAGAGCAGGTGCAGGATTTGGGGAGCTCCAGCAGTGCTGCTTTGGGGCTGAAAGCAGGAATCTCCTTGATGCCTCCCGGAGAGTGGCTGTGGTTCCCAAGACACACACACTTTGTCCTCTGTCTCTCCCAGGCAGAGGTGGGGAGGTTCCCATGGGATTCCCAAATCACTGCCTCAACCAGTCCTGGGCAGTGGGAACAGCACAGGAGGGGGTCCAAGCTCACGGTGATGGGGGGTGCAAAAACTCCCCACTTTGGGGCAAAAGGAAGCAGGGCTGTCCCCTGGTGTCCCCGGCGTCTCGAGGGCCACCCCGGCACGGGGGGCGGCGGGAGGGGACGCGGACAAGGCACAGTCTGGTGTCCCCGCGGGGGCGGCCGGGCTGGGGGGTGGCCGGGGCGGGGGTCTATCGGCAGTGGTGGCAGCGGCGGTCCCTAAACATCCTCGTCCTCGCTGGCCTTGCTCCAGCGGTGGCAGCAGTTGGCCGTGATGCCCAGCAGGAAGTTGGTGGCCACCGAGGCGATGGAGACGACGAAGCCGACGAAGGCGATGAAGAGATAGTCGTCGAGGGTCAGCGTGAGGTGGCAGGCCTGGAAGCTCTCCTCCGTCAGCGACAGCAGCGGGGCCCCCGCCACCTCGGGGGGAGCCCAGCACTCCGCCTGCTGCGAATCTGCGGGACAGAGGGACGGCGTCAGCCCGGCCGCCGGCCCCACGCGGGACGGGGCGTGGGGGTCCCGGCGGCACCTACCCGAGGAGCAGCGCTGGATGCGCCCCCGCAGCCACTTGAGGAGCGGCTCCATGGCGCAGCCGCAGAGCCAGGGGTTGCCCCCCAGGCGCAGCCCCACGAGGCCGGGCAGCCCCTCCAGGGCGTCGAGGCTGAGGGCGGCCAGGCCGCCGTAGCTGAGGTCCAGCTCGCGCAGCTGGGCCAGGCCGCGGAAGGCCTGCGGGTGGACGCGGCGCAGCCCCGGGTTGTGGCTGAGGTCGAGGCGCAGCAGCGCGCTGGCCTCGCGGAACATGTCGGCGGGCACCAGGCTGAAGTTGTTGTAGCTCAGGTCCAGGTGCGCCAGGCGCCGGGCGCCGCGGAACAGCCCGGCCGGCAGCGCCGCCAGCGAGTTGTTGCGCAGGTCGAGGGCGCGCAGCTGCCCGTAGCAGCCCAGGTAGCCCGGCGGGATGCTGGCGATGCGGTTGTGGGCCAGGCTCAGGTTGCCGGTGTCCAGCGGCAGCTCGGGGGGCACGGAGAAGAGCCGCTGCCCGCTGCAGTCCACCGCCTGCCCGCGGCAGCTGCACAGCACCGGGCAGCCCGCGCCCGCCGCCGCCACCGCCGCCGCCGCCGCCAGCAGCCAGGGGCCCAGCAGCATGGCCTCGTGGCCGCGGCCCTCACGGGGCGCCGGGGGCCATCCCGCCCGCCCGCTCACGCCGAGGGCTGCCGGCGGCCGGCCGCGGGGCCGGGCTGGCGGCGGTCACAGCGACGTTCCCGGCATCCCGGCGGCATCCGGGGGGCAGCGCCAACCCCTCCGGGGGCACCGGCGGGGCCGGCGTCGGGCCGTCGCCAGCTGCCTGCGAGGAAGAGGAGAGCGGGGAAGCCGTGCCGGCCGCACGCCCCGCCGGGGGGGCCGCCGCTGTTGCAGCCCGGCGTGGCCTCTGGGGCACCCACAGCCTCCCCGTGCCCCCCGGGACAGCATCGCTGCTCCAAGCGTCCCCCCGGGATTCCAGGCAGAAAAGGGCCCCCCCAGTCCTGCTGACCTTGGCCAGCCCATCTTGGCTGGTGGTGGGCAGAGCAGAGGTGCTGCTCCACGGCCCCCCGCCAGCCCCCCGCCACCACCAGCTGAGCCCGGTGCCAGGGACACCCTTCCAGCCTCTCTCCCGGGGGAAGATCCCCATTCCCAGCACCCACCGGGGTCCCCCCAGGCCTGCCCTCGCCCCCCACCACCTGACCATATCTGCTCCATCCTCCCTCGCCTGCATCCCCCAGCTCCATCCTCTCCCAGCGGCCCACCTCAGCCCGGTCACTCCCCATCCCCGCAGCGCCCCGACCCCTCCGGTGAGGCCGGGCTGCCCCGGGGTACTCACTGGCCAGGGAGGGAGCAGGGCCTGGCTCCCTGCGGCGATGTGGGGCTCCTGAGTGGCGATGTGGGGGGCTCCGGACGGTGATGGTGGGGTCCCCGGTGGCCGGCCACACCCCGGAGGCCGCCAAGTCGGGAGCTGGGCTTCGGCAGCGGCGGCCAAGGCTGCTGCGAGCCCGGCGATGGGAGCAGGTCTTTCCCCACCTCCTTCCTCCCCTCCTCCTCCTCGTCCTCCCTTGTCTCTCTCTTTCTCTGTCTCTTTTTTTTTTTTTTCCTCTTTTTTTCCTTAGGGCCAGATACTGACGTGTCGGTGTCTCTTAGCAACTGCCTCCACATCTCTGAGCAACAGGAGAGCGGGATGCGGAGCCGCCGAGCCGGGGAGACAGCGGCGGGCGGAGGTGCCCCCGCCTCAGGGACCCCCTGCCCAGGCCAGGGGACCCGCACCCGCACGACCCAGGCAGCCGGCAAGGACAGAGCTGGGAGAGGGATCCATCCTGCTCCTCTGCCCCGATCCCCAGCCCTCCCACACGCTCCCAGCCCCGGGAAGCATCCTCGTGGGATGGGGTGAATCAGGGGTTCCCAGGCACTGAAAACAGAAACAGATGACGTGGTGGCAGAGGGGAGAAACGAGGCAGCCGGGATCCAAGGGGAGCTCTAGGATCCAAAGGGACTGCTGGGATTCAAGGGGCACTGTCACCCTCCTGTGCTCCTGCTGTGCTCACAGCACTGGAAAATGCCTCAGGTTGACATGGATTATTTTGCTTCACGCAAGCTGAAACATTCCCTTTCCCTTCTCCGTTTGGAGGGACACAGTGGGGTCAACCACCTGCCCCCTTCCACCTGAGGATGGCCCTCTGGGATCACAGGGATGCCCACGGTTTGCTCCGGGAATGGTGCAACACCATGGCTCCAGCATTTCTAGGAAGGAGGCACTTCCACATCCAGCCCGCCCACGTCTAGGGGATCCCTGCTTAATTCTCTCCTGCTGATTTCATGGAGCTGCTCCTTTTTCCAGCTGGCACTGGAGCCCAATGCTGGTGCTGGGGGGCCTTTTGCTCCCCACATCCCATGGGATGGATCCTCCCTGGTGCGGAGCTGGCAGACAGACAGCACAGCCGCCTCTCCTGGGGTGGCATTAACCAGCACTGCTCCCAGCTCCCAGAAAGCTCCTGGGAGCTCCTGGAGCGCGAGGCCTGGGCTCCCAGCGGGCTCCAGGAGCCGAGCAGAGCCAGCGGCAGCACAGACACCTCATTAGCGCTCAGCCCGGAGCCTGGCAGCGCATCCCTGCCAGCAGCTGTTGGCGCCGAGGTTTTTTCCCACTCCCCCACTGTTCCGGGCTCCACTGGCACCAAAGAAACTGGGAAATTGTCCTGACTGGTGCTGTGCTGCAGCAGATTTTGTGTCCTCCTTGCCCAATCCCCTGTGGAGGTGGCCTTGGGGACATGGTACTGCAGGGCATCATACCTGAGGAAGCCAGGGGATAGATGCTGCCCTCTGGGTTAGGAAGGAGCCTGGCTGTCCTCCCCCCCTTACCCATGAACTCCCTGCCTGATCCCATCCAAAAAGCATTCCTGGGACAAAAATCCTCTTGGGCGAGCACTGGCTCTGGGACTGAGTGCTTGCTCCAAGTACTTCCAGCCCCTTTCTGTAGAAGGAGCTGCAGGAGGGCTCCAGGGATTCTGGCTCCATAAATCTACTTTACAGCCAGAGCCTTTTCTGTTTCAATCCATCCCTGCTCCTGTCAATCCATGTGCATTCAGGCTTGGGAAAGGAAGAAGGAAGGAGTGGGATGGGTGCAGCTCTGCTGCTGAGGGTGGGTCAAAGCTGCCACACTGCCAGATCCCTGGGGAACCATCCCCTCCCTCACCCTTCCCAAATGAACCCAGCTCCTGCACAAGACAGGCTGTCCCACTGATCCTGCCACAACAGGATCCAGAGCTGAGCCTGGGCTTCCTTTTCCCATTAGAAAAAAAGGGTGAGGAGGCATTAGCCACTACTTAAATTGTCCAGGGAGATTTTTCCAATGGCAGGAAGAAGATTCTGGCTCAGACCAAGATGAGTGCACAGGAATTGTTGAAGGAAAAGGAATTGCAGATAATTAAGACAGTATAGATAAATACAGTAAATATATAAAAAAAAGGGTTACAAGAACATTATCCCCTCAGTGATTTAAAAACCTGATCTTCCTTAAAGCAATTTCCAAGCTTCCTTGTACAAGGGAATATCCTAAGTGAATAGGAAATGAGGCAGACTAGGAAATGGCTCTGGTTGCAGATTAGTAACTGTGATTTCTGCAAGGCAAAAGCAACAGCCACCAAGGTATGGGGAAGGAGACACACCAGTGAGTGCTGGACTTGAATAAACAACTTTATTTCTGTACAAAAGAAGAATAAAAAGTTAAAATTGTCAATAGAGGGTAAGTAGAACACAGACCCTAGAAACCACCTTGGCTGCCTCGGCTCAGCTCTGGAAGGTGCAGGAGGGGCCGGGCGGGGAGTGCCACACGGCCGAGCTCGTGCGCTTGAAGTAGCGGGGTTTGCTCTTGTAGAAGATGTCCTCCAGCTTGGGGCTGGGGATGGCCCCGAACAGCGCGTCCAGGTCCACCGGGTGGTAGTACTGGTGCACGATGGCCTGCTGGAGCTGCGCCCCTGCGGGAAGAACGGGAACAGCACAGGCTGCAGGCCCTGCCTCGGGCGGGCCGGCGCTCCCCTTCCCCTCTGAGAGCCACCAGCTGTGCAGGAGGCGTGGGACATGTCCCACTGCCACCACACCCGCTTCTCCTCAGGAGCTGGACTGTGCCCCCCCTTCCTCTCCAAGGACTCTGGTTTCACCTCAGCCCAGGAGCGCTCGCAGAAAGCGGTGCTGATCCCCCCAGCACACAGAGCTGGGAGCTGCCAGAGGTGCACACACTCCTGGACTGCGCTTTGAGATGGATCCAAGCAAGGCTGGAAAGCTCCAGGGCAGGAGGGAAAGGAAGCCAGCCCAGGGCTGGCACCTACCATCAGCCCAGGTGGGGACGGGCTTCCGGGGGTTGCTCTCATCATCTGTGGAGTCGTCACTGTTCAGATCCAGCCCGTAGCTGTTCTCATTGGCCGGGGGCGATGGTGGTTCTTGAGCACCCTTCAGGGAGCCGAGGCAGGATGTGGAGAGGGATTTCTGAAACCACACAGAGAGCAGTGATGAGCAAGGGGAGCAGCACTTCCATGGCTGGGATGGCCACCAGAGCCCCAAAGTGCTCAAATCCTGAACCAACACAAAACTGTCACTGGGCTCCGTGCAGCAACATCTGCTCTTAACACTCCCTCCCCTCCTGTTTTTGTGGAAAAACCTGGGAAAGGCACACTGTGCATGTCCCAGCACTCAACTCTCCACCTAAAACCTTCGGTTTTCCCTTGCTGGAGCTCTGACACAGCCAGGACGGAGCCCAGAGCAGATTCCCGGCAGAGACAGCGCTGCAGCCCAGTTCCGAGCAGCCTTTCCTGCTCTCTGCCCATGCAAGGCTCTGCATCTGCAGCTGCCACAAGCCTGGCTGCCCAGGGCCGCTCCCAAAGGGACGTCGCCTCAGGACCTGCTGCCCTCCCGTGGCCGCTTCCAGCATCTTTTCCGCCTCCAACCACTTGTTTTTCCATCGGGCTCCCTGTGCCAAGAGCGGCGGTGGCTCCGAGCCGCAGGGGCCAAGTAGCCACAGCAGGCGGGGGCCACCCGAGGGCTGTGCCGCGTTGCGCCGGGGCCAGGGCTCACCTTGACGGCTTTGTTCGGCCATGTCCCAGGGGCTGCTGCTGGAATGGGCTTTTTCTCGTCTCTCAGCTGCTGCTGACCGCCAGCCTCCTGTAAGACAGGGGAATGAAGTCATTCCTCACTCACACAGAACAGACTCTGACACAGAGCTGTGTTCTTGGCAGCTCTGGCAACATCCAGCCCTCAGCACCCCCGTGGCTTCTTCTGCAGAAATAACCCCAAATCCAAGACTGCCAGATAAAGCCACTCCTGTCTCTGCTTAGGTCCAGCCTGGCTCTTTGGAGCCCACACTCACCCTCTCTGCTTGAAGCCAGACATTAAGAGCTGGGAAACAGGATTCTGGTGGCTCATATCTTTTCTCCAGCCCAGGCCTGAGAGGCAGCTCTTTGGGACTTGGTTTCCCCTAATAAAGAGGGAAAAAAAAAAACTCAAAACCTGCTGAAGTTCCTTTTTGACCCAAACCATTTCTCCTAGAGCTTCCCCTCCTGTGCTGCTCAGCCATTTTCTCCTGCCTGGAAAAGCTTTGCCAGACTCATTCTGGCCCTGCTGCTGGCAGC